GCGCTCTGTGTTGCGTTTCTTCTGGCTGCTCTCCTCTTCTCTGCACGACTCAGGTCCTAGCGAGCTGCTCAGTTGCGTTGTTTTTTTTAAAAAAACTAAAGTATGCACATGCTCCGTTGGGTGCTTGTGCGCATCCCTGGAGAACTCGAAAAAAACCCACCTTTTCGCAATGGGGCATGGGCGGGCACCGGATGCCACCGGAAACACGATCATACGCCCGCCCTTGCCCCACGGTTTCCGGAAACTAGTACCTCGTAAGTACTGGTTTTTTACTCTGCTTTTTCGGCGTTTAGCGACGGGTTAGCCTTGGGAGCCCTACACTTCCCAGATGTTGCCATGTGATTGCGCCAGGAAACTCCGCCTCTCTTCCAGCTCTGTAGCGTGGCTTATGCTCCGTGTGACTGCAGCCCAAATGAGTTTCTGCTATTGGGTGTGGCCTATTATGCTAATGAGTTCCTGCTGGGCGTGGCCAACTTGAGAGCCAGCCAGAACTCCATTCCTGTGCGTTCCTGCCCAAAAATAGCCCTGGTTATAACTGATCTCCAGGCTACAGAGATCAGTTCCCCAGGAGAAAACAGTTGTCTTGGAGGGGAGGACTCTATGACATTCCATCCCAGACGAAGACCCTCTCCTCCCCAAACCCCACCCTCCCCAGGCTCTGCCTCCAAATTTCCAGGAATTTCGCAGCCTGGGGGCTGGCAACCCTACACATACAGGAACGTTGACTATCAAGACATGGATAAAACTGAGGACATTCTGCTATTTTAGGACCACTGCTCAATTAAATGATTCCCCCCACCCCAACTGTACACATTAAATGAAGCTGCTTTTACACTCAGTTTCACCCACCTACCCTTGGCTGCCAAAAACTGCTGAGACTGGTCTGGGTCCACGCTTCCAAATTTTGATTTTCAGTTGGCAGCTCTTGTTTTTAGGGATTTGATTCCTGAACGGGAGAGCGGGTTCCAATCAGTCACCATTTCCAGGATAGTAAGGCAATGTTCCCTCTAAGCTGTGGAGTCTTGTGAGCAAAAATTCTACTTTGTGAGCTACGGGCCTTAAAGTTGTGAGCGAGCGATTTGGTGACTGCATAAATCAGTTTGCTCTGGAGCCCTCCTTCCTGAGCTAAGACAAATATCTGTGAGCTGGAGGCTAAAAAACTGTGAGCTAGCTCACACTAACTCAGCTTAGAGGGAACACTGTTAAGTAAGGTATATTTTCCCATTCATATCCACCTCAAGAAATCTCTTTTCTAAGGGAATTATTAAATAAGTATCTTTCCCATTGTCTTTAGTTTCACAGGAGTTCGGTCACAGGTAGGCTTTGTCAGACACACCAGAAAAACAACTTTGTCATAAATAGCCTCAAATAGAGTCGCCAAGCTCCAGGCAGAGCCTGGAAGTCTCCCAGAATTATAACTGGCCTCTAAATTACAGAGATCAGTTTCCCTGCAGAAAACAGCGGCTGCAGATGGGGGTCTACACAGCATACCCCACTGCAATCCCTCCCCCAAATCTCCAGGAATTTAGCCTCCAAACGTACTACTCACACAGAGGCACAAATTGCTTCAGTGGCTAGTGAATCTGTACAATATAACTCACCAGGGAAGTGCGAACCTCCTCTCTCTCTAGCAAGCAAGCAAGCCACCTCATCCTGCTGGAATTCACCAGAGCACCTTCAAACCAAAAGAGGCTTCAGGTTAGATGATTATGAGGAACGTGACACAGTATTTAATGACTACTGGGGGGAGGGGGGCTGGCTTTCTTTTTTTGAAAAGGCACTGATAACTGCCTGTGAATTATATGTCTTTACCTGAGCATGCGGCTTAGTTGCAATGGCCTTGGTTAATTCATAAGGGTACACTGGGGGGTTAAGCTAGCTGAAGTAGGGTTGTCCCTCACCTATAAGATGGTATAGGTGAGAGACAGGAATAGAATCTAATCTGACTAGCTACGGATGGATGCAGAATGCATGTCCTGCATCCCTGGTGCCCATGCCAAAGAAGGAGAGCATGCTCCTTCTTGAGAGGAGTGTGTGTGCGTGTGTGAGAGAGAGAGAGAGAGAAGGAAGTCTCATCCCTAAGAATACTATCCTACTTCAAAGGGATAATATCAGGATGCTCTGCGTGTCCTGACCTCTCTGTCTCCACTTCCAACAGGGACTTCAACAGGACATAATACCATAGAGTCCGCCTTCCAAAGTGGTCATTTTCTCCAGCTGAACTGATCTGTTACCTGGAGATGAACTGTAATAGCAGATCTCCATCCACCACCTGGAGATTGGCAACCCCCCAGGAAGGCCTGCTGTCTATCCCAAGATAGTTTATCAATGGTTATTCACAGCTGAGGGAAGAACACTTTATAAATTCTCAAAGATACAATAATCTTTACTATTGTGCACAGCCAATGTAAAAACTGATATTAAATACAGATTATCTAACCCTCTGTCCATAATTTTACTGTCGTTTTCATCCACCCAGCTATTTAAAAAGTCCTTAACAATAAATTTCATTAACCTCACATGGAACCAATCTCTGTGGGCATTTTCAAAATTTTAGAATAGGTACTGGACACCACAAGAAAATGGCTCCCAAGTGAGGGGGGGGAGGCCATAACAAAGTGGCTGCCATAAAATGGCTGCCACAGGGGCTCAGTCCAATCACAAAACATAGAGAGGGTGCACAAAATATTAGGGGGCTCCAGATCCAGCATCCTCCTATTATGGAAGCCTCCTTTTCCAAAAAGGTGTTGCCTGAAGACACAAAGGTAATGCTAACTGAGGAGGCTGAAGTTGGTTCCTTATTCGCACTTCCTTATTCATTCCTTATTCGTGTAGTCATTCAGAAACACTAGGGAGAGTGAGTTGGAAAGCTCTGAACCCCAAAATAAGGTCTGGACCACCACATATCATATACCCCCACATTCACAGGACTCTCCCCTTCGAGGGGACATATGCGGTGTGCTGGTCCAAAGCACGGTTCCGGTGCCAGCTGCTCCAAAGTAATGTGTCATTTGGGGTGGTCCAAAGATTATTGTGGGGTGCAGCCTGGCCCCAGTGTCTGCTTGTGTGACTGTCCTGGGGGCACTGCACCACCGTCCAGATCTTATTTTGGGGTTCACACCGCATATGTCCCCTCGAAGGGGAGAGTCCTGTGAATGTGGGGGTATATGATATGTGGTGGTCCAGACCTTATTTTGGGGTTCAGAGCTTTCCAACTCACTCTCCCTAGTGTTTCTGAATGACTACACGAATAAGTAACGAATAAGGAATGAATAAGGAAGTGCGAATAAGGAACCAACTTCAGCCTCCTTGCTAACTGGGCTCTTTTGAAACATCTGCTCCAATGAGGTGGAGGAAAGCTTGGACTGGTGCTTTGTTTTGATGGGAAAGAATCAAGTGGGTGCCAGAAAACACAATGACAGGTGCCGTGACACCCATAAAGCAGCACAGTGCAGTATGGTGCCATAGCCAGAGCGAAGGATTTGGATTAAAGACCTGGGTTCAAGTCCCTTCTCAGTCACAAAGTCCGCTGCCTGACCTTGAGCTAATTCTCTGAGCAAAACCTGTTTCTAAATGGATTGCTTTTAACGCCTTTTCCACTGATAGCATTTCCTTTTTTGTGCCCACCCCACCGTGAACTGCCTTGGGTATACTTTGGAACAGAAAGGCAGGCTGTAAGGCTATAATGTGTAACCTACCTCAAAGGATTATTTTAAGGATAAAATGGAGGACGCCCCATAGGCGCCATCCTCTGCTCTTCGGAGGAATGTTTGCGTTTAAAAAGAGAACCAAAGCTTTCCTCTTTTAAATAAAGCACCAACAAAACAGACACTGGCACAACATAGATTATTTGAATGTTATGTCAGGAGGACGTGATTGGTTTGTTTTTCTGCAACATTTGCTAATCTCAGAAGTCAGAATTACAACCTTAATTAGATAATTTTATAGGTTTTACCCAGAGAGTTAATTAATTAGTATGAGGATAGTGTGCGGAAGCGGCGGATTCTGAATGCAATTAGGGTAACTATTTAGCGGGGAGAGGAATGAGGTCAGCCGTGGAAGAAGAGACGGGCCCCCAGCGGTGGAGAGACGCAACTAAACATTTCCTAGCACTTTAAACCAAACGCGTGCTGGAATCAATAGGGTTGCGGAGAATGCGCGATCACCACGGTGATAAAACCCCCTGGTGCCCTTTTCAAAAATGGCGCCTCAAAAATATCGCCCTCATACAAGATGGAGACAGAGCGCCAATTGCCCTTTTCCAAAATGTTCGTGATACGCTTGCCCTTACTTAAAACGGCCTTCCTACGAAATAAATGGATACGCTTCGAAGACGGCGGCCTCTCTCAAGACTTCCGGGGGAGGGGGAAATGCCCTTTTCCAAGATGGCGGCAATCCGGGGTAAAGTCTTCCAAAATGACTACAGTCGTTCTCTACCCGCAGTCAAAATGGTACCAGCCGATTACCGTTTCCGGTGAGAACCACTTACTTCGTTCCTATGACGAGTTACCGGCTACCGCTCTGAAAAATTACTCCACTCCGTCACCACTAAAATGAAATTTCTCCCCCTCTTCTGCTATGCGTAGGCTTGCCAAGCCCCCCCCCCCGGGGGCCCGAGAGGCCCGTTACCCGCCGCTGCTAAGGGTAGAGACCGATTTCCCTTAATAAAGATGGCGGTTCTAGCGACTCTATAAAAAACCTAGGTTTCTACCCGCGCTACTTAATACAGCTCCTGCACTTCCTTACCTAAATTTTGATTGCCTGGGGAGGGAGTAGTTTGACCGTTAAGGGCTTTTTGGGGGAGAGGGGGGTCATGTCTTTGAACCTCTAGTGGGAGAGAGTGCCGGCCACTTTCCCAAACGGTTGCAGGCGTTATTTCCCTTTTCCAAAATGGCGCTCCCCTTCTGGGAACACCGCGTGAGCGGTCGCACAAACACCGACGACAGTTAGGGAGGCTGAATCTCGCCAGAGTACAGGTAGGCGGGGCTGTTGCCCTCATCCAAGATGGAAGATGCTAGCACGTGGAATGAGGACAGCAGTGGCTCTGGCAGCAGTGATGGAGAGGAAGGCATGGAAATGGAAGAGAAGGCTCAAGGGGGGAAAGAGGAGGCAGGGAAGGTTCAAGGGAGAGGGATCTACGTGCCCGGGCAGGGCCCTCCCCCAGCGCCTGGAGAGGAACTGGTGATGGATGAAGGAGCGTATCGGCTCTACCACCGTGCAGGGACAGGTGAGGAAGCACGGCCTGGTCTGGACGCCGCGTTTGGGAATGGGAAGGGGGAGGGAGGGATCATTGGGAGCAGGAGCGCCGCTCCGGGAGTTGGGGGGGGTTGGAGAGGAACTGGTGATGGATGAAGGAGCGTATCGGCTCTACCACCGTGCAGGGACAGGTGAGGAAGCACGGCCTGGTCTGGACGCCGCGTTTGGGAATGGGAAGGGGGAGGGAGGGATCATTTGGAGCAGGAGCGCCGCTCCGGGAGTTGGGGGGGG